CATTAATCATCCACAAAGGTCTGAGTGAAAATAACCATTCATAACTATTAGAAAACCTGGTTTAAAAACAGCTCATTTTGCTGTTTAGACCACGTGGCGTGGCAGATAATGCTCTGATTGACAGATCCCTCGTTTTGATTGACATCTCCCTGGCTCAGCAATGGCTGCCACAAATTTAATCCAGCCGTATATTTTTGAGCCCTCTGATGATTCAGAGGACGAAGCAGAAGCCCTGCCAGCTGAAAATGATTCTTTTCAGGTGGTCACTGAATGGTAAGTTTCAAAATGTTTTGTGACTCATATTAATGTTACTTCATAGAATAGTTAGCATAACTTTTACATGCAATGTTAGCTGAGACGAATGACAACGGGAGGCTAGCGCTTTGCCTTTCTTCACTGAGATATGTTTTCATTGAAAACATAAATCTGCTCTGTTTTTCTGATAATAGCCTTTTTCATTCAAACACATCCAGTCTTAATAGATTAAATATGTCTTTACTCTGACACACACACCGACCCTCAAAGCGGGAGAGACCGGTGCCAGCCGGCCGTCTCTCTAGCGCTGCGTAGAAGTATTTGCCTCCCTCAAATAATGTTCCCCTCCGGCTAAAATTGTGTTGTTTCCCGCAGCATCACCTCCGCGATTGGGGATATGTTTATGCGTAGCCAAGCTAACTGCTTGGGGTTGAGGTTAGGGGTGAGGAAGGGTGCACATTACGTCCCCTCCCCGCAAGCCGACACCAGCACAGGGCCCGGGAGGCAAGCCCGGCCTCTCACAAGCCGCTTCTTCCTGCAGCTCCATGAGCTGCAAAGGCTTGGATTGTCCGGGCTCTGGAGCCGGTCAACCTGATTCGAGTGCTGCTGGGAGCCCGCTGGAGGCAGAGCCTCCGCTGGGTCGCAGCCGAGCAGTTCAGCCAGTTTACGATCTGTATTTTCTAAACATCAGACTAGAAAGCTGTTTGTTGGCTCAGATTCAAAGACGCAGATTTAGCTGGAGCAGAAAGGTTTTGTTGCGCAGCCACTGGGGGGCGGGATGAGACAACTGACAGATGATTTATATTGGTTTGGAATTTATTGCGTAATAAATCTCAGAGATAACCACAGCCAAATCAAACCCAATTTCAAGAATGTACAAAAACTTAAAAGACAGATATTTTGAATTTGGATGGAAACTGATTTCTAATTGTTTTTACATGTTTAATATTATGTACATAAGACCCTAAATTACATAGCTAGAAGGCTACTGTGGATTTGGGTTTCCAGAGGCTTTAAGTTTGACAACATAAAATAAATGTACAAAATGAGGAATCGGTTGGTAACAACCAGGCCAGGACTTTTTGTAGTGTTAAGGACAAGTTGTTGTAAAAAGAACTTCTCAAAAAACAGAAGCACTGAGGACAAAATAAATTGCCCCGTCACCACAACGATATCTGATGTAATTCAGAGAAGAATATTCATCCTCTGTGGATTTAAGGATATAACAAAATTTAAAAAGACAAAGGATATGAAGGGTGAAAAATGGAGCAGCTCCACTGCAGTGATAATAGATGCAGTAACATAATTGAAAATGCAGGTCAATACAAACTATTTTATAGACATGATATCAAAACATAAACAGGTGCAACTTCAGCAGATTAAATTCAATATTAATCCAATAGCAGTCTGAAGCTACTCAAACAGTATTAGCTTTAAGAGCAGCGGCCCGGGATTGATTTCCAGAATGAATGTGGAGTGTGTCACAGTCAGTTAAGCAGAACACATTGAGGCCTGATGGGATCTGAGCGGCAAGAGGCCTGCAGACAAATCAGATCAGTGGTCAGGTACAAACTAGGCCACGGACTCTGGCTCTGCATCGCTGTCACTAACAAACCCTTTGACCCATCTGTACAACCCACTGCTGTAAACACACACTCATATCTGATCAGAGCATAACACTATACTCCAATAACAGTACAAACTACATCCTCAGACATGACCTGAAAGATAAATCTACACCTCTCTAAATTTAAGATTTTATTATTATGCCTCTGCAGGGGTGACAGCAGTGACCAGAGCCATTACGATTTTAAAGTTGTCAGTCTCTCCCATTCTCATGAACACAATATCTCAATATATCACACTAATCTTGGTTGTCCACCTTGCAGAGTTTATGTTAGCCAACATATGCCAGCTTTTGGCCAGGATCAGGTGTAGTTGCCCAGAGGATGAAAATATCGACGACGAAAATGTCCAGAAACATGCTAAATAAACAATTAAATTAAGTACTAGCATATTGAAAAGCCTCATATTGTTGACCTATAAGGTAAGTTGCCAAAACATTTGAAATATAAACTTATATTTTGCACACCGGATTTTTAGATATTAACTACCAATGGATCTATTTATCCACTGAAGAGTGTGTCCCTGCCTCCTTAGAGCATACGCCACATCTACGGTGGTCACGGTCTTCCTTGTAGTGTGCTTGGTGTAGTTAGGTGACGGCATCACGAATCAGGTGCTCCAGGAAGAACTTCAATACACCGAGGGTCTCCTGGTAGAACAGATCAGAGAAACCATCTGCAGCGATAGTTTGGGTGTCTGGTCTCTTTTTTCTGGCAAGAAAACACCCTGATAATGCATTATGAATGATATAAAAGCTATGTATTGTAGGGATGCAACAGTCCTGTGGATTAAACTGCTCAAATTTTTTGCTAGATGGGCCTTATTAACTGACAACTGAGTATTGTACCTGCATTATCCTGTAAACTTTTACATCCCCTGGACTATAATTTGTAAGTTCCTGCACAATTGTACACTTCTAAAACTATTTATTTTAATAACTTCACATAGTTACGTATTCTTGTGTTTACATTTATTTATCATATTCTCTTGTAAATTTTCTTCCTTTTATTTCAGATTTTGTCTTTATATGTTTGCATTGTTTAAATGTTATGCACAAAGTCATCACCAAGTCAAATTCCTTGAAAGCACAAAGTTACTTGACAATAAAACATTTCTGATTCTGATTCATTCATTTCACTACAATTCAGAAACAAGGGCGGTGACTCAAAGATCTGCAAGTCAGAGTGAAACTGGAACTTCCATGTCTGCTTCAGGGGAAAGCAAACCTCATTTAAGTCACACTCTAAAAATCCAGTCCTAAGTAATATTATTCAACGGTATGTTGGAGGGTTCACTCAATGTGTCTACACAGGAATGGTAATCATAAAAATCATAAAATAAACAAAAAAAAAACCCCAAAACACCTATTTGGAAAATTTCAGAGGCAAACAAGTACATTGATAACAGATCAGAGTGTCATTATTGGGTATGAAGGGACATCCTGGAAGGGCTCAGTTGTCCACAAGCAAGGATGGTCACTTTGTGAAAAACTGCGTTAGGGAATGGTCCAACATTTTGAGAGCAACTATTCTAAATGTATAGTTGTATGGCATTTAATGATTTCACAATCTATAATTACTAATATCATCAAAAGATTTAGAGAATTTGGAGAAATCTCTGCATGTTAGGGACAACACTGAAAACCAACACTGAATGCCACTGACTTTGACCCATCAGGTTGCACTGCATTAAAAACCAACATGATTACATAAAGGATATTACTACATGGGCTCAGGAACACTTTGGAAAACCACTGTAGGTAAACACAGTTTGTTGCTGCATCTACAGATGCAAGTCCAGACTTTACCATGCAAAGTGAAAGAAATTTATCAACAACATCCAGAAACACCACCGACTTCTGAGATGGACTGACACAAAGTGGAGGGTACAGGGGTGTGCTAGTGCCCGTGGCATCATGGGTAACTTCACATCTGGGACAGAACCATGAATGCTGAAAGGTACATACAGGTTTTGGAGCAACATATGCTGCCATCCAGACAACGCCTTTTTCAGGAACATCCCTGTTTATTCCAGTAAGACAATGAGACACATTCTGCACGTGTTCCAACAGTGTGACTTCGTAATGAAAGAGTGCAAGTATGAGAATGACCTGCCTGCAGTCCAGACCTGTCCCCCATTGAACGTGTGGAGCATTATGAAGCACAAAATACAACATCAGAGACCACGGACTGTTGAGACACTGAAGTCGTATATCGAGCAAGAATGTGAAAGGATTTGACTTTCAAAACTTCAACAGTTAGACTCCTTAGTTCCCAAACACTTACTGAGTGTTGTTAAAAGAAAAGGTGGTGTCACACAGTGGTAAACATGCTCCTGTCCCAACATTATTATAACTTGTTGCAAACATCATATTCAGAATGATTGTTTACTCATACTAAAATAAACAAAATGTATCAGTTTGAATATCTTGTCTTTGGAATGTATTGAGTATAGGTAAAAGGGTTTATAGATCACTGAATTCTGTTTTTGTTTGCGTTTCACAGAGCGCCCAATTTTGGGGGGAATTAGGGTTGAAGTATTTTGTATTAATTTTGTGACTAATGCTCTAAAATAAATTTAGTGGAGTAAAAACTGCAATACTGGCTTCCAAAATGTGGTGGAGTCTTCGCATAAAGTAGAAGAAAATAGTAACTCCTGTACAGTTCTTGAGTTAATATACTTAACTGTACACTCCAATGGTGGTAAAATGCTCACACATTTATGCAGCATTAATATCAATCCCAAACATCATATATAGTGTTAACAGACAGGGAACATTTTACTGTACTATACATACTTTAACTTTTCATACTTACTGTAACGTTACATTTTGCTGGTGCATACTGTTTCTTCAGTCCGGTTTTGAATGCAGGACTTTGACTTGTAGTGGAGTATTTTGGCTGTGTAATTTTAGTACATATACATCAATTAAATCTTTGAGTACTTCTTCCTCCACATGCTGTGCTTTGTAAGCGTTGGATAACAGCTAACGTTATGACATCAGGGTTGCTGATGTAAACACAGCCGTTAGCGGCTACATTAGCACCTTTTCCAGCCGCTGACAGTCGTTTTAAACAGACCGACAGATGTGTTCAGACCCGTCACACGTCATCTCTTACCTGTAGTTGTACGAGGGGAACTTCTTGCTCTCTATCAACATCATCTTATACAGAGAAAGCACCTGTGCTCGTGTGGACGCCGCCATCATGTTGCTAATACGCTGCTCCTCGACCCGTTTAAAACCTCAGGACCCCCTCTGACGCGTGTCCATGGGGCGCCTGCACAGAAATACACTGATTATGTTGACTTTTTTCTTCGCGCCGCTTTCAGTCTTACGATTTACATTAATAGATTTTACTCTCCTAAAATTTCTTTATATAAACAAAGACGTAAATTTTGAACTGGACTTAAAATCCAGTAGGCATTCAGGCGCGCCATCGCCTACCGAACAGCATCTCAACGCTGGAGTGTGACAGGAGGTGAGTTAGCTTTGCTCATTTTAACCTTTAGAAAAATACACTTTAACACACTAATGACATGTTTTACTGAATGGACGAGATTGCGAGGCTATAGCGGCTGACTTCAGGACACAAACCGGGAGAATGTCGCCTCACACAGCGCTTTATTTCCCCCCCAAAACTGTGCTTGTTATGGGGCAGCATGTTAGCTTCCCTGCTACAAACACAACTGACAGAACTGCAGCTGTGAAGTTGGCTTGTTTGAAGTATTTTATAATGCGTTAAATGTACACATACTCAATGCTAATGACACCTCCTTGGAATTTCCTAAAAGTGCATGTATGTTATCATGCATGCACGTGGTTTAACTGTGTGCACGTGTGTGCCAGTTTTTAATGACCTTTCTGTCAATTTACCTCATCACAGTGTGACCTGACCATGACTCAGTGATATTTTGGTGTTTTATTGCGGTAAAAGTACTAATAGTACACTTTGAAAATACTGTGGTACGAGAAAAAGTCCTTTCTTTTAAAATATGACATCAGTAAAAGTATGTAAGTATAACTCCGGTAGACTAGCTCTGAAAAGTACCAGAAATGACATAAGTATACAAATTTTGGCAAGAAGTGGAATATACAATATACACAAAATATACAACTATACATCAAATATTAAAAAATATAAAAATTATAAAAAATAATAATAAAAAAAAAAATACAATGAACAAGGATGCAGTGTTGTTGACCTGCCACTCTGTGGCCGTTTAGAAGTTCATCAGAGCGACAGCCTGGGGGAAGAAACTGTCTTTGTGACGGGTGGTTTTGGTGAACAGTGCTCTGTAGCGCCTACCAAAGGGGAGGAGTTTAAACAGATTGTGTCCGGGGTGTGAGGGGTCTACAGTGATGTTTCCTGCTTGTTTCCTGACCCTTGACCTGTACAGGTCTTCGATGGAGGCAAGCTCAGTCCCAATAATCCTCTCTGCACACCTGATTGTCCTTTTCAGTCTGTTCCTGTTCAGTTTGGTGGCAGATCCAAACCAGATGGTGATGGATGTGATCAGCAGTTCCTGAGGGAGGTTTAGCTAGGGCTGGGCAGTATGACAACATTTTCATATCATATTTTTTTAAAAAAAATCATATCAGTTTCACAGTATTTGACGGTATTTTTCTCGGGTTCGGCCCACTTGACATGCTGCTGTGTAGTGTTATGGCCTATTCAAGTGCTGGAATTTGTTATTTACGTGACAACGCCTGAACGCAACACAGGCTCCGCTACATTAGTGGCGTGCTCCATTATAATTGTCTCCGACTCGAGTCGTCTTCGGTCAGGAAAATGCGGCCTGAGCTCTAGTGTGCTCAACCCTGTGTGTGTGTGGGTGTGGGGGTTAGGGGTGCAATGGTACAGGTAGCCCACGGTACGGTCCGTACCTCGGTTTTTGGGCCACGGTCAGGAAAATGTGGCCCGGGTGCTCACCTGTCTGTGTGTTTGTGTGTGTGTGTGAGCGCGCGCACATGTGCGCGTGTGTGTGTGTGTGCGCGCACGCATCAGGGCCGAACTCCACTGTGCGCGACACAGAGAGCAGAGGAGGATTGTAAACGCGCACCGTGTAGAGACAGAAATGACATGCTGTTGTGTAAATAAGATAAATAACATAAGTTAAGTTTATTTAATAAAAGGACAAGGTACGGAGCGGGGTGCCCCCCTAATGTAATGGTAGGTTAAACACTAGACATGTTTCAAGCAACGTTTGCAGACAGTGAAATTTCTGTTAACTGTTTTCACTTGTCGTTTTATTCAACAGCGAAACCGAAATGATCCCACACCAGAGATTTGTATGAAGCCGGTGCTTCTTCAAACTTCTGTCTCTCAACTCCTCCGCTTGCCTTTGCCATGGCTCTCTCTGTGTTTGTTTTTTACACTTCTTTTCTGTGTGAGGCGAGTGTCACTTTCCCTGGCTCCAGTTACAACAGTGTGAGGGGGTGAGTGGGCGGAGCCACAACAGTGACTGGACATTAACTCGCGGGGAGGGCTTTTGTGCAGCAGGCTGACTCGGCCGTTCTCTTTATACATCCATGGACTCGGCCTGTGGATAGGCACACACACACAGTGGCCTGTAAAGCATCAATGCAAAATTAATTGCAAAACCGAAAACCTGCAGTCCATAAAGGTGTATTGATCCGTGCAGGGCGGACCGAACAGTTCAATATTTTACCAAGGACCGTTGCATCCCTAGTGTGTGTGTGTGTGTGTGTGTGTGCGCGTGCGCATCAGGGTGAAACGCCGCCGTGCGCGATACAGAGAGCAGAAGAGAATTGTAAATGGCGGTGTGCCGTTGCTAGTTGCATATAGGGGAAACACTGCTCTTTTTGGTATGAGTTCTTCTGGGTCATCGTGTACAGTTGCTTCGCTTTCAGGACTCTCTCCGGCAGCCATTCTCGCCTCTAAACTTTTCTCTGTGCTCTCATTCTCACCAGCTCTAGCATGCCTGTGGTGTGCAGCAGTGAAATAGGTCCCCGCTGAAACACTTTCCCGTCGCGCGTGCACATTCCGGACGTTGTGTGGGCTATTCACCGGTATTGCGGTATATGAAAAATTCATATCCTAACGAAAATAAATACCGGTTTTCGGTACGAACTGGTATACCGCACAGCCCTTAGGTTGAGCTTCCTGAGCTGTCGCAGGAAGTACAGCCTCTGCTGGGCCTTTTTCCGGACAGTGTCTATATGGGAGGTCCACTTCAGGTCCAGAGAGATTGTGGAACCGAGAAACCTGAAGGTGTCCAGTAGACACTGTGCTGTTGAGGATGGTGAGGCAGGGCAGTGTTGGGGGGCTTCTCCTTAAGTCCACTGTCATCTCCACAGTCTTGAGCGGGTTCAGCTCCAGGTGGTCCTGACCACACCAGAGGACCAGGTGCTCCACCTCCTGTCTGTAAGCAGACTCATCACAGTCCTGTATTGGACTGATGACTGTGGTGTCGTCCGCAAATTTCAGGAGTTTCACCGAGGGGTCCCCTGAGGTGCAGTCATTGGTATACAGGGAGAAGAGCAGTGGGGAGAGGACACACCCCTGGGGGGCGCCAGTGCTGATGGACCAGGAGCCGGATGTGATGCTCCTCAACCTCACTTGCTGCCTCCTGTCAGTCAAGAAGCTGGTAATCCACTGAGAGGTGGAGGCAGGCACCGTGAGCTGGATGAGCTTCTTGTGGAGTATTTCAGGGATGATGGTGTTGAAAGTCGAGCTGAAGTCCCCAAACAGGATCCTTGCGTAAGTCCCTGGGGAGTCGAGGTGGTGCAGGATGTAGTGCAGTCCCATGCTGACTGCATCAGCCACTGACCTGTTTGCCCGGTAGGCAAACTGCAGGGGGTCCAGCAGCGGGCCTGTGATGTCCTTCAGGTGGCGCAGCAGCAGTCTTTCAAAGGATTTCATGACCACAGATGTCAGGGGCGATGGGCCTGTAGTCATTTAATCCTGTTATGGAGGGCTTCTTGGGGACCGGGATGATGGTGGAGCGTTTGAAGCAGGAGGGTGTTTCACACAGTGAAGATCCTAGTGAAGATAGGGGCCAGCTGGTCAGAGCAGACTCTCAAGCAGGAGGGAGACACACCGTCAGGTCCCGGTGCCTTCCTGGTCTCCTGTCTCTGGAAGAGCTGACACACATCCTCATCACAGACCTTTAGTGCAGGTGGGGGGGCTAGTGGAGCTGGGGGTGCAGGTAATCGCTTTGTGTGGTTGGAACGTGTGAAAAGGGCCTTTTCAAACCTGTAGAAGCTGTAGAAGCTGTTCAGGTCGTCTGCTCGTTGGAGGTTTTCCACAGGGTGGGTGGGTGGTCTCCTGTAGTTGGTAATGTCCTGCAGGCCTCTCCAAACTGACACAGGATTGCTGACTGAAGCCCTTTTTAAATAGGAATTGTGCAAATTGGCAGGAAAGCCCAATCAGTCTTCTTTCAGCATTGGCAGTATAAAAACAAAACCGGGGAGTGCAGCAAAATGCCGCCTGCCTACTTTTGTTCGTATAGAATGTGCCTTTTTTGGGGCAATGGGGGGCATGAGCAAGTAACAAACCATGTAGCTCAGCGCGTGATGTAAACAGTGAGGTACTCCAAGGGAAGCCGCGGCTGGTCAGTCCTTCAGCGATTCTCTCGTAAGTCAGCCTGTCCTTCACCGTTCCAGTAATTTGACGGTTAATGGCCTCTTCGTTTGCGAGGACAAGGAGGGCGGGCAATTCTTTATCTCCCCAGTTGCTCATCTTTACAGTGTCTGTAGTTTGTAGGTTTGCGTTTCCGTCTTGCTACTAGTACCAGCTGCTCATTCCTGCTATCAGCTGTTTCCTGTTTATCCACCACCAGTGGCTCGCACGTGCAGCGTCATCACTAGCTCCTCCCACAAGTCATCAACAGCCCCTTCCCTGGCGGAAGGGCTCCTCGTTCTTTTTAAACCAAAAAGGTTCCGCCAATATGTCCACCCTACGAGGCGGAAAATTGGGCACCTCGGATCAACTCGCCAATCCGGCTCTGTGTGTCTAAACGTTCGCAGCTTGCCGGCAAAACATTCGCCGAAAATCTGGCAGTGTAAAAGGGGCTCACTGTAGCCCCTCTTGGCTACCCTGATCTCTTTTGTCAGCTTGTTTCAGGCCTGCTTGTACAGAGCCTGATCCTTGCTCCTTGGTCTGGTGCAGCCGCCTGAGTTTGGGTGTGAACCAGGGTTTGTTGTTGTTATATGTACAGAAGGTCTTAGTCTGCACACACATTTCATCACAAAAACTGATGTAAGATGTCACAGTGTCAGTCAGTTCGTTTAGGTCTGTGGCTGCAGCTTCAAAAACACTCCAATCTGTGCAGTCAAAGCAGGCCTGTAGCTCCAGCTTTGACTCCTCAGTCCACTTCCTTACAGTCCTTACCTACTGGCTTAAGGCCCATTTATGCTCCCTTTACGTACGAAAATGTACATGTCCGTTTCAAACAATGTTACCGTCACTGCCCACATACTTCCATGTGCCCTTTACATTGGCCTGGATGTTAACCA